ATTAGGGAGTTTTCGTTATTCAATTTAATGTTTACTAATTGAAGTTGCTGAAGTGACGACATAAAGAGTATACTAATGAGGAAGTTCTATGAATTGCATTTGTCAATTTTACCAATAAAAAGAAAACTTTTGCGTTGCGCGAAAAATTAGTGAATTTCGAAAACAAAACTAGTGGGGCAAAGCGCAAATGCGTCAATTGTGTGCAAACTTGTGGCGATTTTCCTTTCAATTAACTCGCATTGAAATTTATGTAAGTGTATTGTGAGCGCAAAAAAGCAAACAAACGGCGATAAATTGTGAAAAAAGCTAAAAAAAATAAAATACTACATACCTATTGCGTTCATTGCTTACAATTAATTTTACAGAAAAAAAAGTGTTCGTAAATAATCAACAAATCCACTCATGAAGCTATTACAACGACGCTTCATTGTGTCAGAAAAGTGTATCGATTTTGCCACAACAGCAACAACAATAACAACAAAAATCAGTAATATTGCCATACACCAACGCTTCGGGCTAAAATAATGAGTATATTCCTGTTGTCATTGCCGCACCGTTACAAGCGTCTACTGCAAGCAATGACACTCGCCGTGGCAATAATTTACACCACATTGGTGCTATATCAGAGCGCCTACGGATATCCTGATCTGCAGGTGGGTAGTACACTAAGTGCAACTGCATGCCAAATGTGTAGATATGTACATATGTATTTCGTTTGTTTGTATTTTTGTATGCACGCGAAAGTGCAGACATTTGCTGCCCTTCAGCGTGGGCATAACAAGTACTAGTTGGAGCTCGACTTAAAGCCAGTTGCCAGTTGGAGCTCGTCGTTTTTTCGGCGTTAAAGTAGGCATCACAAAGAATGTCAACGCTTTTTGCGAATTTTAGTAGAATTTCCAGCTTTACTTTTGAGATGGTCTCTAACTATTCGAAGTGGTTCGCTGGTCGTGTTTTCGACAGTGCAGGACATCGGTAGAAAATATGCTCTAAGGTTTCCCTGTTCTCCCGCTCACGACACTTCCAGACCCTGTTCACGTTAATGATACCGATTTTTGGTGCATGAACCCCACCAGGATTTGCGCCGTAAGAAATCTGGTAATCTCTGCAATCCTTGTTATAAGAATCGAATATTAGTATGCGCCAGTTACGCACCGACGGAGCTGCCTCCGTAAGCAGACCTGAACTGCCTAATCATATTATCGTCTCTTATCGTCGTTAAACAAGTGTTCGATAAGAGATATGCAGCCTTCTCTCTGTGGCCAGCTTGTAATTGTTTTCCGGCTGCGAACCAAATACCACTGCCGTAATCGCCGTCTGACTGTCTAAGTATAGGTTTACTTTTGAGTTGATTCTCGTTTCGGTGTAGGCTATCTCCGCTGCTCTCTCATTTTGAAAACCTCTGCCTTAAATACGTTGTAATGATCATTTGACCTTATTGCCCTCCCGTAGTTCAGTTACCGGCAGTTTACTCCAGCACCTACTCCCGTTGTCACTTTAGGTTTCATTCCCTTGCGCCATCTCTTCTCCTCAATCGTTATGCGAAACCTTCGTTCTCACTTAAAGCCAGTTGCAATATAGTCAGTGCTTCCACCCCAATTAAGCCGTGCCCAAAGGTTCTGAAATTGGATTCCCCTGTGACCATAAATCTTCCTACCGATTTAGAAGCACCGGTTTCCGCGCATAGGTGAACGGGCGGTAAACTGGGAATTATTTCTAGAGCGCCCCGTGATGTACAGTTTCGCGAGGCGCTGAACTCTCTCCATTGGCCTGATGTATGAGGTTTTTTTGCGGCATTCCACTACACCAAACAACCATAGAACAGTTTTAGTCTGCTGCGTAGTACGAATGCATCAGAGAAGGTCTTAGACCACAAGTAACTCCCACTCTTTCCTCCACATCAGCTTTAATTGTCAGCTCAGTGCTACCTAGCTTTGGGGGCCTCGATATTGGGACCTTATATCTTCTTGCCAAGAGTATTACGCCTGTCTGCGTTAGCTCCTAGTCCCGCTCGAGATTCCTATTGGTCAGTGACTTTCTGGACGATGTTTTTCTGGTCGGTAATTCACTGGAAAATTCGATGAAATAATGCTACTGATTGAGCAAGACCGTGAAACAAGCTATCAGGAGATATCGGAGGCATCAAATATCCACCGCATAACAGTTTGGAATCACCTTAAAAGAAAAGGTTACACAAAGAAGCTCGAAATTTAGTTGACCAGCAGTGAAACGCTCCTGGAACGGGACGAAATCGGACTTACGAGCGATGAAAATTGGATTGAAAACGAGCATCAGAAGCGCAGGAGACCGTGTTCAAAGACCGATGACCCTTCACAAACTACTGTAGTTCCTGGACTGTCGGCAAACAAGGTTATGTTGAGTGTTTGGTGGTATTGGAAGGAAATTTTGTTGACAACGCCTGGCCACACACATATTTGATGACTCGGAAAAAATTAACGGAACTTGGTAGAGAGGTTCTAACGAATCCATCGAATAGCTAGCACGTTGCACCATCTGACTTCCATTTGTTTCTATCTCTTCCAAAACTCTCTTCATGATAAAAAATTGGTCTACCGATGAGCAGCTGAAACTCGGTCAAATTTTACGCCGATGAACCACAGAAGTTCTACACCGCTGGAATTAAGAAGCTACCCTAAAAATGGCAAAAGGTCGCAAATAATATTGTACTTGATTGAATTTAATTTTCATAAAAAAAAAAATTTCATTTTTAATTTACCCATAAAGCCGCGCAGACTTTTCTTTTGACCCGATACATACATATATTTGTGCAGACAAAGTCAGTTCCAGACGTAATTTTGTTAATAAATTTATCGTTCATTTTCATGACGAGCAGCAAAATTTACCAAGGAAATAACGTAACTTTGAGGAATAAAATATATTTATTTTAAACTTTTGCTGGTTTTACTTGAGTGCTTTAATTCGAATCGATGCAAAAAGCACGCAAGCGCCTTGTGTAACTTTGCGGGCTGTTGTGATTTGTTTTGCCGTCGGCATTTCACTTCATAATACTTAGTAAGATATTCGTCTGCAATTGATGGATTAGACTAGCGCTGGTATTCAGCAAGTCTGCTTCACTTCCAGTCAGTAAATTTGAGACTATAAATTAGTGACTATTTTTGTGACTTCAGAAGACTTGGGCTTTTAGTAAGAGAACGCCATAAAAAAGTTCATCAAAAATGGTTGTTGAAAAGAAACAGTGATAGTCAGCTGAATGCGTATTTCAAATAGAATGAATAAGCATGTATGTATGTAATTTTGCCCGCGCTGCTCAAACAGTTGCAATAGTCGAGAAAAACTAATTCATTTAATTTTTATGATATGAAAGTATTTAGTTTTATTTCCAAGTAAAATTGTTTTTAAACAAATATTTCATTCCTTCATTCTCGCGGTTTTTAGATTAAAATAGAATGCAGTTACCTCTTCCTCCACATATTTCTTTCTGTGACCTGCTCAGAGCCCGCTGACTAGGTAAGGTTAGGTTGAAGCGGCCGTTTTCATTCTACATAGGAGAGAGCCCCAGCGGGCTCGTTGTGATACCAATTGAGAGCCGAAATCCGAACCCGTCCGTTCTCCTAGAAATACTGCTTCACTTCGATCGGCCAGACATTCAAAAAGGTGGTGCTGAAATCAGTGTCTTCTCGTCCACGAAAGGGCGGGGTAGTGACAGAGGTAGTGTTCCCCATTCTAGATTTCGTCTACGTTGCGGTAACTTCGGCAGAAGTCGTTGGCCGGCCAAACCATTCAGCTGACATGCCTTCCCATTAATCAGTAGCCGGTAATAATACTGACCAGCCTTAGTGGAGCGCATTCTAACCGAATAAGTGCGTCGTGTGTGTCTTGAGCCATGTCTTGCAGGTAGTTGGCGATATGCCCGCCGCATGATAAGAGTTACCGTTAGACAGTGTGGTTCCCTTCTTCGTAAGCTCGTCCGCTGCACAATTACTTCGATTGTCTCTATGGGCTAGCACCCATTGTGTGGGTAGTAGACTTTGAAGCTAAATTGTTAAGGACTTTCTTAAGAGGTCTAATGACTAATTATAGTCTTTTTGTAGACTAGAGACGTGAGGCAGCTTATCGAAAGAGTGGAAAAATCGATGTTCACCACGAAAAGTCTATATTAGTGACTAGGGCCTGCTTACCGAATACCGGCATAAGTTTGATTAAGTTGGTTTCCCACAAACAGGGGTACATTTTGACAGTGAAATTTGACTCTGTCTGATATCACTATGAATGCTAAAGTTATAGCGAAAAACGCTGTGTGCCAATAACGAAGTTTCCTAGAGGTCAGAAGCCGGTCAAGCAGAGCTGCTACGCATTTAAAAGGCTGGACCCCCGGCAGTTGGCGTGTATGGTGGTCGTATTTCTTGTCACCGCCTTACTCAAATAGCTCGACGGGCAGGCCATCAGCTCCAGCAGCTTTCGACTGGGCGCTCGAGTTTGTCTTCTCCACTACTTTGAGTGTTGTTGCCATTCCAAATTTAAAATACGCTCTGGACATCGGTCGCTTGTTCTCACAGAGTTTTGTATAAATATGTCAAATTTATTGCTTCGTTCTCATTTCCCGCACTTCTTGGTGGTCTTTCGCAGAAAAATTACTCAAAAATCAGATATCACAATTCAGCAAACAAAAGCAGCAATGAAAAGCACAAACAAACAATTCATTTATTTTATTATTTAATAAGGAAAAAATAGAGCGCTTATTAAAAAAGTTAAGCAATTTGCCACGCTTGGTGGTCGTCGTTTGCAAGCGCAGCTGCACAAATCGCAGTGCAACTAAAGCTCGGAACACTTTGACGACAGCAAGCGACAAGCAGCATCTGTCAAATTTTAAATACACACGTTCTTACCGACACAATTATTTTGACGACAGCACGACATCTTGGCTGCAGGACTGCAATTGTCGACGTCGCCAAATTAAATCTATTTCTAATTTTGCCGGCGACAATGAGTAGATGTAGTGTTGCAAAATTAAATTGTCGCAAAATTAATCACATATTCTTGATTGTTCATGTTTTTCTTATTTACTTAAATAAAAATACACAATTTGTGAAATAAATATACCAAAATGTAAAACTTTAAAATCAGCTGTTTGCTATGTCGCTGAGGTCTTCAAAATGTTTAAGAAGCTGGCTTCAAGGCGACATTTGTCGACAAAATGATGTCGCTGTCGTTACGTCGTGAAGTTGCAGTCGTCAAAGTGTTCCGAGCTTAAATGAATTGATTCAAATTTCAATAACAAAAAAAAAAGGGAGTCAACAAACTCAAATAAACATTGAAATTAAAGAAAATAATGGGCAACACACACATACATAAATATGTATCAGCGACTCAAATTACAGTAAATATTTTGTCAAACGATTTTATGAGCATAATTTACAATGCGAAAGTTTCGCAGCCCACATTGTGTGCAGAGCGAAAAATATCGAATGTGTATTTTTGTTTATTGATTGCACAAAAGTTGTTGCATTTGCATAACTAAAAATGCTTGCGTAAAAGTTTGTTCACTTTTTCCATAGCTTCCATAGCACAATATGCATTTGAGTGTGCGTTGTATATAAAGGGTGATTTTTTAAGAGCTTGATAACTTTTTTTAAAAAAAAAACGCATAAAATTTGCAAAATCTCATCGGTTCTTT